ATTATGTGCATGTATTGGTGTGTATAAAGATATATATTTTAGATGTAATTCTGCACTCTGCATTTTTTTTTTTAGAGAATGTTAATGTTAAGATATAGCCACAGTGATGTGTACAAATCCATTTTTTCTTCCTCTTAACCTCTTTGAAGTTTTCCATCATGTGAACATACCACATATATTTATCCACTCCCCTATTAACGGTCATCTTGTTTGTTTTCTGGCCTCATGATACCCATTTATCTCGTATACACATTTCCTAGAGCCACTCCACTTCCTGGTTATTTGCACTTAGTGTATTTGGCCTTGACCTATAACTCCACTCAAAGGTCTCAAACTCAAAGTACAGCAGATTCTAATTGCCAATTTGTAGGATATACAAGAGACTGAGAAACACATCAAACCACACTGAAAGGATGCAATCAGCAAAATCCTGCAAAGAAACCTTACAGAATAAAATGCTTCCTTCAACAAAAATTGCAAGGTGGGAAAAAAAAGAGGGATGAAAGGGGAGCTTATAGTTAAAAAAAAAAAAAGACTTTGTGCTTCAAAGGATACCTATCATCAGGAAAGGTAAAAAAACAACCCACAAGAGGGTAGAATGTTTATAAACAACATATCTGAAAAGAGACCCGGATCCAAATTATATAAAATTCTTATAGCTCGCCCTGGCCGGTTTGGCTCAGCGGTTAGAGCGTCGACCTGAGGTCCGGAGAGACCCGGGTTCGGTTCCCGCTAAGGGCACGTACTTCGGTTGCAGTTTGTCCCCGGCCCTGGTTGGTCGTGCGGGTGGCAACCACTCGATGTGTCCCTTCACATCGATGTTTCTCTCTCTCTCTCTGTTCCTCTCTCTCCCTCCCACTCTACCTGAACAAAAAAATGGGAAAATGTCCTCGGGTGAGGATATTAAAAAAAAAAAAAAAAAAAAAAATTCTTATAGCTCAACAGAAAGAAAAACAACCTATTAAAAAAATAGACAAAGACTCTGAACAAACATTTCTCCAAAGATATACAAGTGGCCAATAAGCCCAGGAAAAGATGTTCAACATCATTAGTCATTAAGGAAATGCAAATTAGAAAAAAAAAAAAAAAGGAAATGCAAATCAAAACCACAAAGAGACACCACTTCACAATCACTAGAATGGCTATTATCAAAAAGACTATGCAGCCCTGGCAGGTTTAGCTCAGCTGGTAGAGCGTCGTTCCTGCTAAGGGCATGTACCTTGGTTGCAGTTTGCCCCGGCCCAGGTTGGGTTGTGCGGGTGGCAGCCACTCGATGTGTCCCATTCACGTTGCTGTTTCTTTCTCTCTCCCTCCCACTCTATCTGAACAAAAAATGGAAAACTGTCCTGGGGTGAGGATTAAGAAAAAAAAAAAAAGATTATGCAGAAACCAGAACCTTCACCCAATGCTGATGGGAAAGAAAAATGGTGCAGCCACATTGGGAAACAGTCTGATAGTTCCTCAAATGGATCCGGTAGTTCTGGAAATGAAAACATATACTCCCACAAAAACTTGCACGTGAATGTTCACAGCGCATTATTCATAATAGCCAAAAAGTGGAAACAAGTCAAACGCCCATCAACTGATGAAGGGATAAACAAGACGTGGCATATCCAAGTCCCGGGTGAGGGAGCAGCACCCACAGAGCGGAGAGGAAGCAGTGATTTTTCTGGAGGATCTAGAGAGAGAGCTCAATGAACCGCGGCATGAGATGGAGCCTACAGACACAGACAAGTCCCCTCCGAAGATACAGTGGCTCCAGGGGAGCAGCCATCACTGAGCCTCAGTCCCAGCCTGAGGAGTGCCAGCTCACACGGGAGCCTGCTCAGGTACCCTGCCCTGTTGGAGACAGACAGCATGACCAGGACTGAGGACAGAGAGTTGGTGCAAAGGAAAAATTGCCCTGAGATAGTGGAGCCACATGGGAGAATATCTTATGGAGAGACCTGGGAGGTGTCACACCGGATCCCTGACATAGAGAAGCTGGTGAATAAAAGGCTTAGATAGAAGGGCACTGGGGAAACCCCTTACAGGGGTGGGGAGCCATTTTTCTGCCAAGGACCATTTTTATATTTATAACATCATTCACAGGCCATACAAAATGATCAACTTAAAAATGAGCCGGCTGTATCTGGTCGGGCTAATTTGGTGAGACGTGTGATGTTAGCTGGTATTGATTTCACTGGCTGTACACGGCCCACCAGCCATACGTTCCCCACCCCTACAAGAACAACACAAATGTGGGAAGAGCTTTGCTCAAAGCTCAGGTCTCATTCAGTGTCGAAGAATTCACACTGGAGAAAGACTCTGTGAATGTAATGAGTGTGTGAACCCCTTCCGTCTGAGTCCTGGTCTTTTTAATGACGGAGGAATCCACAACATACCACTGTGAGGAGCGTGGGAAGGCCTTCAGTCACAGTGCCATATCATCCAGCACCTGAGACTCCACAGGGGACAGAAGCCCTATCAGTGCAGCCAGGGCTGTAGGAGCTACAGTAATAAACCCTTTTGCACGGAGCATCAGAGAAGCCATACAGGGAAGCAGCTTCACCAGTGCAGTGAATGCGGGAAAAGCTTTACTCCACACTAACCTCATCCACCATCAGAAATTCACAACGTGGTCCAACTAGTCTAATCCTTGCTATATGCACGTTTTCTGTTTCACTGGCCAAGTCCAATGGGACAGGTGAAGACTAGGAAACGCTTTTCTTCCCGAATCCACTAAAGGCGTTTTGGAACCAATACTGACCTGTGGTGCAGGCACGTCCTAAGAGGTAAACCTAACAGGTATTTGAAGCTGCTGCTTTCCCTTCAGTTACTTTACCCCTTCCTGGTTACTAGTCCATCCCTCTTATTTATTCTCTTTGAGATGGTTCTAAACCGTCCTAACAATGTAATAAATCGTGCTGCTATAACCAGCAGGCCTGAATGCTCTATATCTGGGTTTCATTCCTAAAGATCACAAAGAGCTCTGCCGCTGTTTTACGATAAATGGGTCTTCGTTGTTCCCCATGACCCGCACTTGCATGGTCCACCTTTTCCACCCTCCTGCTTCCCTCGGACACCTGCGTGACGCTCCTTTTTGGATGCTGGGTTTGAATGCTGGATATATGTCCATTTTGGTAAGTTATTCACCTTTCTATGCTCCAGTTTTATCACTTGTAAAAGATGGATTATAACATAACTACCTCATAAAGTTTTTGAGAGGATTTTTAAATGTAATCCAGATAAAGCTTAGTGCCTGACAGACTAAGCACTCAATAAATATTCGCTGTTTGTATTACAACTGTTGACCCCGAGAAAGAATATACTTGCCAAAAAGGACTCATAGTGGTTAACTAAGCCCAAATTCATAAGTAGAGTCTAGCAACCATTGCTGACAGAGGCAGAGGCCTCATATGCATGCTGCATTTCAGGGAAGAGCCACTGACTGAGCTGCCAGGCTCCTGGACTGTGTTCCCGCCAGAGGAGCTGATCCTGATATAGTAAAGGAGTTCCTGGGATGGTACACTGACCAATGGGCTGAGACCTGCCCCATCCAATCAGAGCTGCACAGTTATATCCTCATTTGCATCTTTACTGACCAATCAGTGGCTCCATAACAACCAATCAGGATGTGAAATTCTGACCTATCAAGACAGTGCTATCTGAACAAATTAAAATGTAAATTGGGATTCCTCATTTGCATAAAAATGGACCAATCAGTGACCATTGTGGGTACTTTATATAGTGGGTCTCCCCTTTGTCTCAGTGAGATGCACTTTCACTTTCTGTTGGTACCTGCATCTCTCTGGTTTGCAAATTGTTCACCTGAATAAAGTCTCTCCTTTTTCTGCCCCTCCCCCTCCAAAATGTGGCCTATCCATATAGTGGAATATTATTCAGCCACCAAAAGAAATGAAGTACACACATATGCTACAACATGCACTTGGAAACATACTTGGTGAAAAAAGCCAGACACAAAAGGCCACATGTTGTATGATTAATTTATATGAAATATCCAGACTAGGAAATCCAAAGAGAGAAAAAAGATTAGTGATTGCCTGGGGCTGAAGGGAAGGAGAATGAGGAATGGCTGCTAATGGGTACAGGATTTCTTTGGGAGTAATGAAAACATTCTAAAATTTATGATGATGTCTGCAAAACTCTGTGAATATATTGAACACAAAAAAATTATAGTTAAACTTAAAAATTAGACAGAGACCTAAAAGACTTAAACTGAGTTTTTAAAAATACACTATAAAATAAAATTATAAAGCAATTATGGAAATTTGAATATAATATCTGATTAATGAATTATTGCTAAATTCTTATAGATATGGAAATGGAATTGTGTTATTAAAAAGGAGTACCTGTATTTTAGAGATACATACTAAAATATTTACTGATGAGCCCTGACCAGTTTGGCTCAGCGGTTGGACCAAAGGGTCTTGGGTTTGATTCCTGGTGAAGGGCACATATCTGGGTTGCAGTTTCGATCCTCCACCCTAAATAGGGCCGTGCAGGAGGCAACCAATCAATTGCTGTGTCTCTCTTGCATCAATGTTTCTCCTTCTCTCTCTCTCCCTCCCTTCCACTCTCTCTAAAAATCAATGAAAAAATATCCTCGAGTGAGAATAAAACATATACACACACACACACACACACATACTGATGAAATGATACAGTGTCTGGGATTTGCTTCACAATAAACTGGGGAGAGAGGTAGAAATTTAAAAGGTATATAGGTGAAGTGGTCATGAGTTTATAATTGTTCATCAGACTATTCTCTCCACTTCCCTGATGTTTGAACATTTCTATTAATAAAAAGGACCAAAGAAAAAAAGAAATTATTTCCTTGCCATGTTATTTTATTGTGTGCCAATTATCAATCCCACAGGTGGGAAAACCCCCATTTCAATTGTATTCTCAAGAAATGATTGATGGAAACCTATACGTGTACTGTTTACAGTTTGAGGAAATAGTTTTACTTTTCTTAAGAAATAAATGATTGAAAATACCTTGGACTTCCCCTTCCATACTCAGCAACCACTTTTTCTGTCTCAATTACAATCTTCCCAAAAGAAGGCTTTCATTCTGAATGCTTCTTCCTTTAAGAAAGACATTTGTTGGTTTCCTTTTGTTTAGCCTCACCTAATTATTTTTTAAATTAAATTTTAAAACTCTTATCTTTGATATTAAGTTGTTCCTTAACAGATACAGTGATCAAAGGGGGAACATCTGTAATACTTACAACAATAAATATTTTTAACTCATCTTTATTGTTGAATGTATTACAGATGTCTCTCCTTTTCTTCCCTATTACCCCCTCCTGCCTTCCCCACACTATTGTCTGTGTCCATTGGTTATGCACATATGCATAGAAGTTCTCTGGTTTATCTCATCCTGCCCTCCCTCCCCCCTTCCCTTTGAGAATCATAGTCTAACAACCAATTTGTACTTCTTAATTCCTTCATCTTTTTCACCCATCCCTCCAGCCCTCACCCATCTGGCAAGCAACAAAAAGCTCTCTGTAAGAATTTTTTTTAAAAACACATTGATCAACCCCCCCCCTCCCGTTTGTCAATTGCCCTTATTCCTATGATGCAAACTAACTGTGAGCCTGAGGCAGAGCTCTTCCCTCACATTAAAAGCAAGAGATTTTCCGGGAGTACTTAGCTCCAGGCCTTGTCCCAGGGCTAGGCCACAAAACAATCCCACCTGAACCCCATGTCCTTATGGAAACAACAATAACAGCTCTAAATTCCTGACTACATACATGTGAGAGGCACAATACCAATCACTTCAACCTGAGTAATGTTACTTGCTCATTGGAACAAGCCTAGGAGACAGGTACTATTATTTACCCCATTTTGCTAGGACTTCCAGAATGATCAAGTAACTTGCTCTATATCACACAGTTTTATAAGGCAGAGCCAGAATTTGAACCCAGGCTGTCTAGCTGCAGGGCCTGCACTTACACCAGATCATATTACCTCCTGGGTGGAAACCAGCTCATCACATCGTTGTTGTGGTATCACTAATGTTCAAGGACCAGAAACTTTAATTAGGCCAAAAATCATTCACTCTGGACACAGAAGAAGGACTATCTCTCAGGAAACAACCCCCATCCACAGCTCCCTCATTAGGACCATCATAAATCTTGTTTTTGAATAGCAAAAACAAAAGCACATCACTTTAAAAAAAAAAAAACCTTTGAGATCATTTAAAAGTTAATAATGAAGAGAGATGTATTGGCGTGCCTTGTCCTCTCTCGACCTCCAGAAATGTCTGGGTTAAAGGGGCTAGGGCCAAAGGGCTGGACTTTTCAGTGAAGAGAAAACCAGCCATATGAGGGTAGACGGGCCCTTCTAAGTGAATCCAGATCCCAGTAAGGGTGAGCTGAGAAGCTTCCCTGAGTCACTCCCATCTCCACATGCAACACCCAGGAATGACTTAGCACCAAAACACCAACAAAGGAAACGACTGAGAATCCCTGTCCAAGTCTAGGAACTCAACTTCTGAAGCACTGAGGAAGGCTGTCCAAACATAACTCCCTCCCGCTCCCAGCCTCCCCACCGAAACCAACCTCCTCCCCTTGTGGGAGGGAGAGGGGTGGACTGGGCAGGGCAAGCGATGGTCCCCAGATGGGCTCAATATTGCACAAGGGAAAGCTTGCAGGACAGGACAAGGAAGATCTAAAATGATCCAAGAAAATAAAATGAAGGGGCTGGAGTATAGTGGGAGAGGGGATGTAAGAACCAAGGACCAGAGTGGGGAACAACTGGTGACTGGTACAGCAAAGCATTGGGGACAGGGGTTAAAATGGACTGGGTAAACAAAGAGGCTGGAGAATTCAAGTCCTCTGGGAACCAGGAGCTATGGGGACACGGGGTTCAGGGGTCGGCAAACTAAAAGTGTCTAGAGAGGACACTCAGCCTGCGTGGAGACTGGAGTGGCTGGAGACAAGGGGCCTGGGTGGTGGGGATGACTGGGGAGCGGGAGGACCCTGAAATGGAACTGGGACTCCAGGGGTCTGAGAGGTAGTTGGCACTGAGGTTCAGGAGGTCTGAGAACCGGGGGTCTGAGAACTGGACACGGGGTCGGAGGACTGGGAAAGACTGGTGGAGTGGGGTACAGGTGTCGAAGGGCTGGTTTTAAGAGATGGACAGGAATCAGAGGGCTAGGAGTGCCAGGACTCGGGACGCCCGAGAACTGCAGGTGACCAGGGGCAAGAACTGGGTTACATGGGGTCAGGAAACTGGGAGCGATGGGACAGGGGTCTGGGAGTGGGACGCGGGGACTAGGGGCCAAAGTGTGCAGCTGAAGGGGCGGGAGCCAGGGCGGCCGGGGCGGGTGACAGCGGCGAAGCCGCCACTCACCGCTCATGTTGCTGCTCTCCGGGCCGGTGCCTGCGCTGTGCCGCCGCCACTGCCGCCAAGCTGCAGACAGGCCGGGCCGACAGCGCGCCCCGCCCCGCCTGTCTGCCCCGCCCCGCCCCGGAAGTGGAGCGCCGCCGCTACGGCCCCGCCCTCCGACCCGGAACATAAACACGGGCTCCTGTGCGGGACAGGGGAGCCTGGACGCTTGCTGGCGGGGGCCCGGGGCAAGCAGGAACCACCAAGAGGTGGTCCGCGAATCCTGGGGTGCGGCGGGGCGGGTCAGGATGCCTCCCCGCCCTCTTGGGCTCACACCTGTGCCGGAAAGCCAGACGGTGAACTAGGAAAGCCCGGAGACGAGACGTTCCAGACCGCGCTAGGAGCAGAGAAAGGAAATTAAAAAAAGAGTAATGGGCCAAAGCGTGGGGACAGCGGAGATGGGCAGCCCCAGGGGACCGACCTAAAGAGACGACTTGAGCCCTGGCCGGTTTGGCTCAGCGGTTAGAGCGTCAGCCTGCGGTCCTGAGAGACCCGGGTTCGATTCCCGCTAAGGGCGCGTACCTCGGTTGCGGTGTGTCCCCGGCCCTGGTTGGTTGTGTGGGTGGCAGCCACTCGATGTGTCCCTTTCACATCCATGTTTCTCTCTCTCTCTCTCTGTTCCTCTCTCTCCCTCCCACTCTACCTGAACAAAAAATGGAAAGGTGTCCTCGGGTGAGGATAAAAAAATAAATAAAAATAAAGAGAGGACTTGAGAGTTGAGACCTGGGTGACAAGGAGACAGCCCGAGAAGATCCGCAGATAAGGTGTCCCAAAAGGAACACCTTTTGCATTAAAAAAAAAAAGAAAGAAAGAAAAGTAAAGTAAAGGAGAATACATCACACACAGAATTGTTTTGTTAAACAACTACTTAAGTGCAAAAGGTCCTGCCTGGAGGGGTTGACTGAAGCGAGAGAGTGAAGAGTTGGGTGGAGGGCCTTGCAAACCCTATCTTAAGAGGCTTGGACTTTTAAACCTAATTCTTAAGTAGGTAAGGGAATGGGAAGTCATTGCAAGAATTTAAGCAGATGACATGGTCTGAATCAGGTTTTTAAACGATTACTCTCAGGATTTGAGAATGAACTGTAGAGGGACAGGGTGGAGAGGGTCAGCTGGTTAGGGGTACATTGCAATTGTCCAGCAAGAGGAAATAGTGCCTAGGGCTAGCATGGTGGCAGTGGAAAGGACGATGGATGGATCATATGTGAATATGTGTTCACAACAATCTTATGAATCCATTTTACAGATTGGAGACCCGGAAAAATTAAAAGAGCAGTTGCTCAACGTGTTTGCCTGCAACCCAGAGTAAAAAAAATTACCTTTTACGTCACATCTCAATACACACGTGTACATTTAAGTAGTTAACACAATTCTGTGTGTGATGTATTCTCTTTCACTTTACTTTTTTTTTTTTTTTTAATGCTGATTGAGACGATTGATCCACAAATATGTCTTGATACATAGTTGAAAACACTGAATTGTGGACCAAACTCCACTGGGAAAAGGAGCCAGAGTTCCAGCATGACCCTTTTTAAACCTAATCTCTGGCCCTTGGGAATTTATATTTTGGACTCAGCAGAGGTCAAGAGCTCTTTGGAGAATGATGCTCTGCAGCATTGTTTATCATAGTGAAAAAGTGAAAAGCACCAAAACCCAACTACGGTAGAGTAGCTAAGCAAGTAATGGCCCACGTCACAAAGAACCTCTGCAGTTGAAAATGCTAATCATAAAGAGTATGGGAAAGTGGGAAAGGCCACTGATAAAAAATATTAAGTTTAAAAAATACTCGATGTTGCCCAACTGATGAGACTCAGTGGATTAAGTGATGTCCCATGGACAGAGAGGTCCCGGTTCAATTCCCAGTCAGGGCACATGCCCAGGTTTTGGGCTTGATCCCCGGTGGGGGGTGTGGGAGAAGCAGCAGATCAGTGTTTCTCTCTCACATCAATGTTTCTATCTCTCTCCCTTCCTCTCTATAAAAAAATTAATAAAAACATTTTTTAAAGCCCCATGTGCCCTGGCCTGTATGCCCAGTGGTTAGAGTGTTGGCCTTAGCACCAAAGGGTCAAAGACTCAATTCCCAGTCAAGGGCAGGTACCTGGGTTGCAGGTTCAAGTTTCGGGAAGTAATCAATCAATGATTCTCTCTCACTCGCTTTCTCTCTCTCTCTCTCTTCCTCCTCCCTTCCACTCTCTCTAAAAATCAATGGAAAACATCACTAATCATCAGAGAGGTACAAATAAAAACATAAAACGACAATGAGGTATCACCTCACATCTGCCAGAATGGCTACCATCATTAAATCAACAAATAAGTACTGACCAGGATGTGGAGGAAAAGGAACCCTAGTACACTGGTGGGAATGCAGACTGCTGCAGCCACTATGGAAAACAGTGTGGAGTTTCCTCAGAAAATTAAAAATGAAGCCCCGCCCCCCCCAACCATGGTTCAGAGGTTGAGCATCGACCCATGCACCAAGAGGTTGCCAGTTCGCCCTGGCCGGTTTTGCTCAGCGGTTAGAGCATCGGCCTGCAGACCGGAGAGTCCCGGGTTCGTTTCCCGCTAAGGACATGTACCACTCGATGTGTCTCTCTCACGTTGATGTTTCTCTCTCTCTCTTCCCCCCTCTCTCCCTCCTGCTCTATCTGAAGATAAATGCAAAACAAAATGTCCTTGGGTGAGGATTGATAAAAAAAAAAGAGGTTGCTGGTTCAATTCCCAGTCAGGGCTCATGCCCAGATTGTGAGCCAGATCCCCAGTGGGGGACATGCAGGAGGCAGCCAATCAATGTTCTCTCTCATCTGTGTTTCTATTTCTCTCTCCCTCTCCCTTCCTCTTTCTCTAACATCAGTAAAGAAAAAAAAATTTTTTTTAATTCTACTGACCGCACGTGTGGTCCTTGAATGTATTAAAAAAAAAAAAAAAGGAATTGCCATTTGACCCCATGATCCCACTTCTAGAAATATATCCTACAAATCCTGAAACACCAACCAGAAAGAATAGTTGCACCACTGTGTTCATAGCAGCACTATTTACAATAACTAATGTTGTAACCCAGGAGATCGACCAAACTCAGACGCTGAGATGGGGTTTAACAAAAGGAGTTTATTGAGCTAAGTCCGCAGGCCTGCAGTATGTCCCACACAGGAGTAACTGCGGCGCGGAGAGCTAAAATGGCTCCTTTTTATAGGATTTTGTAAGGGGGGTTGCTACGTGTAAGCAAGCATGTTACAGAAGCGGAATTTAGCAGTTGGTTAATTACCTGTTACTCAGTTTCCCAGACATCTCAAAGGTCAAGATGTTTTCAATAGATTATCCCTGGCGCCGACCCCAGGATTACTCAAGGGTTAGTTATTACCCCAGGGTTAGCGATTACTTAGGGATTAGTTAGTGAAGAATGTTCTTCAGTAAATGAGTAAACTGACAACCCCTTTGGTTGTCGTGAAGGCCTCTGGGAGTTTGGGTCAATGGCACTGAGTTATAACACTAAGATCTGGAAACTGCTCAAGTGCCCATGGGCAGATGAGTGGATAAAAAAGCTGGGTACCCCTGGCCGGTTTGGCTCAGTGGTTAGAGCGTAGGCCTGCAGTCCAAAGAGACCCAGGTTGGGTTCCCGCTAAGGGTGTGTACCTCAGTTGCAGTTTGTCCCTGGCCCTGGTTGGGTCGTGGGGGTGGCAGCCACTCGATGTGTCCCTTTCACATCGATGTTTCTCTCTCTCTCTCTCTCTCCCCCTCCCACTGTATCTGAACAAAAATGGAAAAAATGTCATAGGGTGAGGATTAGAAAAAAAAAAGCTGTGGTACATTTACACAATGGAATAATACAGATGTAAAAAAGAAGGATCTATTACTATTTCAGAGAGCATGGAGGGACCTGGAGATCATTATGCTAAGCGAAATAAGCCAGTCAGAGAAAGACAAATATCATATGATCTCACTTTAGATGTGGAATCTAATGAACAAAACAAGCTAATGAATAAAATAGAACCAGAGATATGGAAACGGAACAGACTGACGAATCTCAGAGGGAAGGAGTGGGGTGGGAAGAGATTAACCAAAGAATTTATATGCATATGTGCATTCCTCATGGACGCAGACAATAGAGTGGTGAAGGACTGGGCAGGATAGGAGCTGGGTGGAGGGCGGCAGTGGGGGAAAAAAGAAAGAGACATCTGTAATACTCTCGACGGTAAAGATAATTTTTTTAAATCCTTGGGAAAAAACATTCTCAGGTGAAGTTTACAAAAACAAAAAAGTCCCATGCGAAATGCCTGTACATCTACAATTATGTCAAAATACAGCCATGTGTAGGGAGAATGTAAAAATGAAAATATTTGTCAGATGAGTACTGATCAGTAATCACTTCATTAGTTATCTGAATGTTTGATCACTATGTTGTACACCTGAGACTAATATAATATGTCAACTGTAGTGGAAACTTTTTTTTGAAATTTTTAATGAAAATACTTGTGTTTGGTTAGGAGCATTGTTTGTCCCATTTTTTAAATTATACTTGACAATTGTCAATTTGTTGTTCTAGTTAAAGAGTGGGTGTGTCTGAATCCTCTCCTAGAAAGCCTAGTTCCGGATGGCCTGCCTCTGTAGCCTTTGGGAAGGAGTCACATACCCGTCTCCTGGGGCTGTCGTGAGGACGCTGTGTTATGCTTTCTCATAGCACCCTATGCCTTTCTTCAGATCGTTTGAAGCAGGATAAGTTATTGGAATTGTAGTTTGTGCTTTGTGTTTTCTAGCACCAACCATCCCCTTGAAGTGTTGTAATCCCTTCTTCCCAAAATGTGAGCCTGGTCCTGGAAGACCAAGAATCAGAAGCCTAACGTCAGCTTTTTAAAAGTTGCACTGGGCGTGAGAGGATACAGAGTGTTTAGGAGCAATATACAGAAAAAGAATGTGTGCCTGCCCTCAGAAACTCGACCTCAAAGGGTTTAACAAAAATCATCATAGCAATGTAACTAACTAGATTACTTATTATGAATCAGATACTTTTATGGAAAAAAAAAAAATGTGTGTGTATAACTTAAGGTTAAGTAACTTTCTTATAGTCACCCAAGGTCTACAACTTTCTAGTAACAGAGCCAAGATTCAATCCCAGGCAGTCTGGCTCCAAGAACCAATGCCTTAACCACTATACTATTTTGATTCCTGTGGCCCTTAAGGACCTGGAATGGAGCCTTGATGAGCTCCAACTGGGTAAAAAGATCCCACCGAGGTTCCCAGTATTCCAAACCTGACACAAAAGCCACAAAGCCCCAGGACCTTGAGGATCTATGCTGTGGTGCCAGTGGGCATCTTTTTTTTTTTTTTTTTAAATGCCCTTAAACATTTTATTTATTTATTTATTTATTTTGTTCAGGTAGAGTACGGGGGAGAGAGAGGAACAGAGAGAGAGAGAGAAACATCGACGTGAAGGGACACATCGAGTGGCTGCCACCCGCACAACCGACCAGGGCCGGGGACAAACTGCAACCGAGGTACGCGCCCTTAGTGGGAACCGAACCCGGGTCTCTCCGGACCGCAGGCCGATGCTCTAACCGCTGAGCCAAACCGGCCAGGGCTTTTTTTTTTTTTTTAACTTTTATTTATTTATTTATTTATCCTCACCCGAGGATATTTTTCCATTTTTTGTACAGATAGAGTGGGAGGGAGAGAGAGGAAGGGAGAGAGAGAGAGAAACATCGACCTGAAGGGACACATCAAGTGGCTGCCACCCGCACGACCAACCAGGGCCGGGGACAAACTGCAGCCGAAGTACGTGCCCTTAGCGGGAACCGAACCCGGGTCTCTCAGGACCGCAGGCCGACGCTCTAACCGCTGAGCCAAACTGGCCAGGGCTCCAGTGGGCATCTTAACAAAGATCAAAGTCAGCAGATTATCACAGCACATCACCTGTTGCATAGCCTTTCCATAAAGAGCTTTGTGTAACCCCAGGACCTTTGCTTAGCCCCAGAGGGGAACCCTCCCCCTATAATGACTGAGATTGTAGCACAAAGAAATGGGGAATTCAGAAATGGAACTAAGTTGCTGTGAAGAGAAAAAAAAGTAGCTCAAGATGTCTGGGTTTAAATCATGGCTTTGCCAGTTACTGACTATGTTACCTTGCTCTGACTTAGTTTCTGTCATAATCTGTAAAATGGAGATGATAATGGTCCACCTTTGTTGTATGCTTTAAATGAGTTAGCACAGGTAAAGCACTTAGAACAATTCCTGCACATTAATAACTATTCAGTGTTATCTATCATTATGACCTGCATTTGGGTCTGAAAATGATACCTAGTAAACTTATCAGAGTTTGTGATTGTACACATATTTATATGATTATAATAATGCCTGAGGCCCTGGCCGGTTTGGCTCAGCGGTTAGAGCGTCAGCCTGCGGTCCAGAGAGACCCGGGTTCAGTTCCCTATAAGGGCACGTACCTCGGTTGCAATTTGTCCTCGGCCCTGGTTGGTCGTGCGGGTGGCAGCCACTCGATGTGTCCCTTTCACATTGATGTTTTTCTCTCTCTCTCTTCCTCTTTCTCCCTCCCACTCTATCTTAACAAAAAAGTGAAAAAATGTCCTCGGGTGAGAATTAAAAAAATAAGAATAAGAATAATAATGCCTGAAGCCTCCAGTTAGCTGGAAACTCACAAGGTCATGGCACAGTGAATTAGCATGGCTGGCCCTAGGCTTCTCCTGTCTACAGAAATACATAGAATAACCTTGTTTACCTTTGGTGATAAAGAGAAAAATTCCATTCGTCTTGAAGTTCATATATGCACGTAGAGGAGGGAAGTGGTCCAGCACAGAAAGGTGCGACCATGGGATCGACACATTGCCGTACTTTTTTTCAGTGAATCAAGAATTTAATTATTAAAACCAATGAAATTTCCACAGTTACATTCCCAAAAGTAAGATAGGGAACTACATCTAACATAAAGATTTTCTAGAACTAGAGGACAAAAAGCTGTATCGGTAACTGGTAACAATCATCCTAAAGAGATCTGATACATCCTCCTTTCCTTCTGACAACAGATTTTCTAAGTAGCTCACACCACTCAAAATGCTTAACTATCTGGTAGAAATTGATTTCTCCATCCTTGTGATACTCCCATCAGCTAGCAGGCCACTGCATAGTCATTTGTTTTCGTGGTGACCAGGATGGTTGCACCTTCCTCCATAGCTGGGAGTGGAAAGAAATGGTCCGAATCGACCTTTGGTTGGCTCTTGACACAGTCTTCACAGGTACATTCTTCTACAGTGTACTCCAGGCTTCTGGAAAGAACTTCCTCCCCGGTCCTGCCATCTTTCCTGTCATCCAGGTCAACATTTGCCTCCTTCTGGAGACCTGGTCCTGATAACGCAGAAACAGAAAAGTTAAACTAAACGTCCCAGGGCGTCCGGTCCTGGCGGTCTTGGCAGTATACCTCAGGCTCAGAGCGGCACAAGACACCTTTTCCTACAAAACAGAGGAGTCTGTCCTACACCAGGAGTCAGGAACTAACAGACCACAGGACACAAAAGGCTCAAAGACATGCTTTAGGGCAGAGTGTGTTTTTAAGTGTTCACTTATGTTGGCCCACCATTAAAAATCAAGTGATTGGTCCAGCCGGTGTGGCTCAGTGGTTGAGCGTTGACCCAGGCACCAAGAGGTCGCTGGTTCGATTCCTGGTCAGAGCACATGCCCAGGTTGTGGGCCTGATCCTCAGTGGGGGGCATGCGGGAGGCGACCAATCAACATTCCCTCTCATCAATGTTTCTGTTTCCCTCTCCCTTCCTCTCTAAAGTCAATAAAAAAAAAAAAAAATTTAATTAAATTTTTAAAAATCAAGTGATTGTCCTGGCTGCTTGGCTCAGCAGTTAGAGCATCAGCCCACGGACCAAAGAGTCGTGGGTTCAATTCCAGTCAAGGGCACGTACCTTGGTTGCAGTTTAATCCCAGGCCCAGGTGTCAGGGTCTTGCGGGAGGCAACCAGTTGATATGTCTCTCTCACATCAATGTTTCTCTCTCTCTCTCTCCCCCCTTTCTCCCTCCCTCCCAATCTATCTGAAAAATCAATGGAAAAATATCCTTGGGTGAGGATTAAACATAATAAAAAAAAAAGAAAAAGAAAATGATTGCCCTGGCCAGTGGCTCAGGTGGTTGGAGTCTCATCTGTGCACCAAGAGGTGGCAGGTTTGAGTCCCAGTCAGGGCACATACCCAGGTTTCAGGTTCACTGTTTCCCTCTCTCTCCCTTCCTCTATCTAAAATCAATGTTAAAAAATAAAATTACTTTTAAAAATCAAGTGATTTTACAAACAAATTTAGAGACTGGCCTCAGCCTTATTTTACACACATGAAACAACAAATTACCATATGTTCCAGCACACGAAAATCAGCCTGTGGTGACACTTTAGAATTCAAAATAAAGCTGCTTCTCTTTTCACATGTGGTGTCAGATTAAAATTCCTTAATGAATCTGTGATCACATAAGGAAGGAGTCTCCATTATGCCCCCATTATATGCCTGTGAGGGTAAATTTTACTACTTCCCCAACCTTCCAGTAGTACTCCATCTCCCAAAACGTCACACTTAAAGTCCTTCCCCACCTGTTTCTCAGACCCCGGGCAAAACAAAAATAAAAAAGAGTACGTTATACAGGGCAACCATTTACCTCTCCTTACTGCACAAGAAAGCAGATAAGGTTATGCACAGAAAATGCACAGAGAAATAGGGCAATGGCTGCGGTGTGTGAGAATCAGATCACGGCCGAAGGTGCTGCCGAAAATAGCTTTATCTTAAGAAGCCCTTCAGACCTTGAGGGTGTTAAGGAACAGTCAATTCTCTAGGAACATTCAGTCCTCTGGGACTGGTTCTCAACTGCTTATAAAGATAATAATCTTTGAGATGATTGCTCAAGTAATCCAAGAGCAAGTGGCTATTTATTTCTAATATTTTTCAACAGTAAAATGTTCACCCAAGCAAACAACACATATTCGCATTAAAAATATGGCCCCGCATCTTGCCAAACATACTTTTCCTAAGAGTAGCAGACCTGGAGAGCAGTTTCTGATAGTGTGACCTTTAATCAATGTGTGAGCTTTGGTCAAAGAGAAGGATGTTTCCCAGGAAAGCCTCAGTGATTATCACCCTGGTCAGTTTTGGTCAGTGGTTAGAGCATCAGCCCTTGGAGTGAGGGGTCCCAGGTTTGATTCCTGGTCAAGGGCATGTACCTGGGTTTTGGGTTCAATCACTGGCCCCATTTGGGATTATGTGGGAGGCAACCAATTGATGTGTCTCTCTCGCATCAATGTTTCTCTCTCTCTCTCTCTCCATCCCTCCCTTCCACTCTATCTAAAACAAAACCAAAAAAATCAATGGAGAAATGCCCTCTGGTGAGGATAACAACAACAAAAAAGTGATTGTCAAGGGAAGAATGTGGGAGATGGCTGACATTGTCGGACACCAGCAAGGAAGACGTAAACACCAACACAGAAAGAAGACAGCTCTCTTCTACCAAGGAGTTCCTTTAATATAACTGTCCTCTGACACATTCAGAAGGGCTCTAATTACCTAGTGAAATAGTCAGTGTCAAAGCCACCTCTTGGAAAAAGATTTCAAACCAACCTGTGTTTTTAACTTCATCCTTCAATGGTTCAGAGTTCATCTTCCGTAGGAAGAACATCAGCACGAAAACTGTCAAAGACACCAGCAAGCTCAGGCCCAAACAGGTCCAAAGAATGGCATTTATCGCTGAATTAAAAGATATGTCAGAGAGATAATGAAGGGGTAACATAACACCTACATCAAGTAAAGATTATTTGCTATCCAATTCCGCTAATTCATCAGCACTGACTTTCAAATTTCTCAATAACACTTCCTTTGAAGAGTTGATCAAATACAGGTTTGCTAACAGTGCTGAATAAAACTGAGTTCAGCTCTGAATAATTACTTTATTCCTATTGGCATTGAAATGATTGCCTTGTTCTCTGTCTCTTTTTTGATTCAGAAAAATCTCACCATCTTCCCTGTAACGTTCACTCTTTGACTAGCTAGTCAGTGTAGAGAGACTACTTCACACCAACGAACGGTTGTTCGAGCAGCAGCACTTACCCGTGTTGCAGTAACGCTGACATGTGAGAGGAGGGGTGTGAGAACACCGAAGGTGACAAGGTGTGCAGGCATCCAGCAGTCTGTCAAAATATTCATGTTGGAGGCACTGCTGAGCCATCTGGAACTTGATCGCAAAAAGAAACAAAGAAACCACGGAAGGAACAGCATGGAAAGACAAGTAAAATCTTGTCACGAATTCCCCAGCGAGTGGAGTGACAGCAGCTATACAATGTCTAGAGAGAACAAGAAGCTCAGTGGCCGGGTGCTTATGGGGGCTGCCTCCTTGCACTGTGGCTAAGAATTTGAATACCAACTCTAATTCTCATTTCCTAGTTTGAGGCTTGGGTGGGGCAAGACTTGGAGTGTAAACATCAATGATAAATGGTACTGAAACAGAAAATGCTTATTTATAGCGACAATTTCTCAGCCAGGTGACTGTTGCAAGATGTAGACGAGCCCGAGGCACCAAGCAGAAGGTTCTATATCGATGAGCTGAGCGTCTGCTTGTGTGCTGAGCTATGTGATGGGCCCCAGGGAGCTAGATAAGATAAGGTGTGTGCCCCTTAAGAGTCTAACAGAGGAGATGGCAATTCACACAAGGAACCCCAAAGTATAGTTGGAACAAATGGAATGTGGGAGAGAGAAAAGGGTATCAAGCTCACCTACCAGATTTTGAACCTAGGAAGAATTGCAGAATTCTGACAGAAATAGGGAAGTCTGGGGTAAAAGCTAAATTGGCATGAGGGTTGAAGGGAAAGATATGTTCGAGGTATTATTAAGTTGTTATTCATTTTTTAATTTTTCTTTTTTATCCTCGCCCGAGGACATTTTTCCATTTTTTGTTCAGACAGAATGGAAGGGGGGGGGGGGGAGAGAGAGAAACATCAACATGAAAGGGACACATCGAGGGGCTGTCTCCCGCACGGCCCTGACCCAGCTGGGGCCGGGGACAAACTGCAACCGAGGTATGTGCCCTTGACCGGAATCAAACCCACGACTCATTGGTCCGCAGGCTGACACTCTAACTAACCGCTGAGCCAAACCGGCCACGGCTAAATTGTTGTTATTAACGTAATCTATGTTCCATTGTTGAAAATTTAGAAAATACACATGAGTAGAAAACAACTATCCACAGTCTAGAAATAATCACTCAATAATTTGGTGTATCACAGAGGTGACAAACGGGCCTGCTGACGTGTTCTGTCTGGCCCACGCTTGATACAGATCTTTCTGGAAGGATTTCTGTGGATGGATGGGTAGATATTTATATAATGTATTTTTCTTTTCACATAAATGGAATCACTTGTGTTTGTGTTTAACCATACTGAGTGAAATAACCATCTAGAGATATCAGAAAGGTCAGTCAGAAATGCAGGATTCAGTTAAAATGCACGGAAATTACAAACTCCAAATTCATATAGTGATTACCTCTCGGTAGCAGGGAGGGTACAAAAAAGGCTTCACCTGTATTGGTCACATTTTATTAAGCTGAATGGTAGATACATTGATATTTGTTATATATTTTTTGTTATTCTTTGCAACTTCTTATATTTTTTAAATAGTATGTAATAACTATTAACATAGTAATAATAAAATAAAATGCAGGAATTAATACCAGCTTTCTTTCTTTCTTTCTTTCTTTCTTTCTTTCTTTCTTTCTTTCTTTCTTTCTTTCTTTCTTTCTTTTTTTTGGTACGTGCCCCTAGCGGGAACTGAACCTGGGACTCTCTGGTCCACAGGCCAAGGCTCCATCCACTGAGCCAAACCGGCCAGGGCAAGACCAGCACTTTTTTTTTTTTAATGAAGGATTTGAGCTTAGAAGAGAGTTCGGACTTGGACATTGATCAAAACCTTACGTTCTGGGCCAGCAGTAGGCTAAACAGTGTGACCGCCTACGTGGGATAACCAAGGAACTAAAAGGGCTGGCCCAGCAGGGTCCACTCCCTGAAGCTCCTGCCAAATGGTGATTTTTGGAGGACAGGCAAAGGACAGGAAAAGCATGATTAGAGAAAGAGGACAAAGATTATCTCCCTGTAACAGTCAAACAAGGAGAGAACTTCAAGACAGGATGAGCAGTAAGCGTCAAGTTCTACAGAAAAGTCAGAGGCAATACAATGAGGTCATTGGTAGCCATTAAGTGTGTCAGTGGATAGAAACATATTGTAGCCCTGGCCGGTTTGGCTCAGCGGTTAGAGCGTTGGCCTGTGGTACAGAGAGACCCGGGTTCGGTTCCCGCTGAGGGCGCATACCTCGGTTGCAGTTTGTCCCCGGCCCTAGTCGGTCGTGCGGGTGGCAGCCACTCAATGTGTTCCTTTCACATCGACATTTCTCTCTCTCTCTCTGTTCCTCTCTCTCCCTCCCACTCTATCTGAACAAAAAATGGAAAAATGTCCTCGGGTGAGGATAAAAAAAAAAAAAAGAAAAGAAAAAAGAAACATATTGTAGATATTTAGGGAATGGAAAGAAAGAGGAGGCAGCTAATGTAGGCCACACCTAGGAAGTCTGGTGGAAACTGGAAGAACAAAGCTTTGACAACTCTTGGGAAAGAAAGCACTGTTGTTTCTGACAGATGTGCTTACTACTTAGGTGCCTGAAGTCACCTGTACAATGCAGTATCATTTGTATTTACAAAAGCCTGTCTATCACTGGAAGGCCTCGTAGTGGAATACTACATAGCCATCAAAAATAATGAGACAGGTGTGTTCTGATATAAGCAATACATCACTGAGAAGAGAATGAAAGGTACTGAACAGTGTGTACAGTCAGCTCTTCTGTGTTTACAAATGAAATAGCTAAGGTTCATATACAGAGACATGAACATAAGCTACCTCCGTGTATCTTCCAGATGGATAGTAGGTGCTGCTTCTGGCAAGAGCTAGGAAGTGTAGCATGGGGGAAAGACTTGCTTTGTATTGAAAAATCTTTGGTACTATTTGAACAATTTTTTTTTAATTTTAATTTATTTTTTTACAAAGAGAGGAAGGGAGAGAGAAACAGAGAGAAAGAAAAACATTGATTTGTTGTTCCACTGATTTATGCACTCATTGGTTGATTCTTGTATGTGTCCTGACTTGAGATCGAACCATGGTATGTCAGGATGACTCTGTAACCAACTGAGCTACCCAGCTAGGGCTGAATAATAATAATTATTTTATTTTTTATACTATTTTTTTTTCTTTATTGATTTTTAGAGAGAGTAAGGGAGAGATAGAAACATTGATGAGAGAGAACATCAATTGGCTGCCTCCTGCATGCCCCCACTGGGAATTTGGCTCACAACCTGGGCAGGTGCCCTGACCAGAATTGAACTGGTGAGCTTTTGGTGCATGGGTTGATGCTCAACCACTGAGCCACACCGGCCAGGCTGAATAATAATTATTATTTTGTTGTTATTGTTGTTGTTAATCCTCACACAAGGATATTTTTCCATTGATCTTTAGAGAGTGGAAGGGAGAGAGAGAGAAAGAGAAACATCAATGTGAAAGAGTCACATTGATTGGTTGCCTCCCACGCGCACCCTGACAGGGACCAGGGATCAAATCTGCAACCCAGGTATGCGCCCTTGACTGGGAGTCGAACCTGCAACCCTTCGGTGTGCGGACCGACACTCTATCCACTGAGCAACACCAGCCAGGGCTAAATAACTCTTTTTTAATAATAAGGATTATTTTTTAAATAAGAGTCGTTTTCTAAAGGGTGGTGTCTTAGTCCATTCTGACTGCTATTAAAAAATACCACAGACTGGGTAACTTATGAATAACAAAACTTTATTTCTCACAGTTCTGGAGGCTGGAAGTCTAAGGTCAAGGTGAGAAGGCAAGACTTCTGCAGACAACCCCCTCAGGCCGCACAGAGACCCCGCCCTTGGCTTTTGTAATCAGTTTACATCAGTCAACTGCCTAAACCACTGCAGAACTAGAAAGCCCCCAAAGAGCCGGAAGCTTATCATGTATAAAAGGCAGTTGGAACCCAGGCTAGGGCTCAGCCTTTGGAGGTGACTCCGCTGGGCCAGCATCGGTGCGCGTTAAACAGTCATTTTTTAATCCTCCGAGTGTGTGCAGTCTGTCTCTCCCGCCGACCGAATTTCTGCAACAACAAAGGTACCTGCAGACTTGGTGTCTGGTGAGAGCCCACTTCCTGGTTCATAGCCATCTTTTCACTATAATCTCACATGACAGAAGGATCGAGAGATTTTTTTTTTTTAACTCACATCCAAGGATATTTTTCCATAATTTTTTTAGATAGAGTGGGAGGGAGAGAGGGAAAGGGAGAGAGAGAGAGAAACATTGATGTGAGAAAAGACACATCAATTGGTTGCCTCCTGCATGACCCTGTCTAGGGCAGAAGACGAACCCACAACTGAAACATGTGCCCTTGACCGAGAATCAAACTGTGACTATTTGGTCCATGGGCCTTCACTCTAACCGCTGAGCCCAACCAGCCAGAGCTCTGGAGCCTCTTTTATAAAATCATTAATCCCATTTGTGAGGGCTCCACCCTCCTGACCTAATCACCTTCCAAAGGCCCCCCACCTCCTAATACCCTCACATTGGGGATTAGGTTTCAACATATGAATTGAGAGGTGGGGGACAAGCACTCAGTCTATAGCAAGGGGGAACTTCAAGAAGAGAAAGAATGAAAAGATGAAGAGCATAGACTAAGGGAAAAAGAATAAAGATGAAAGATTTCAGAGAGACCACCCCTGGGCAGAATCTGGGACAGTGTGAGGCCTGAAAATCAAAAGCACTGAAGGGAGCCCTTCCCCTGGTGCACTCACTGGGCCGAAAGAGCGCCGCACCGACAGAGGTTATTCTTTATCACCTCCAGGCCTCGTGCCGCCTGGAGAAGCCCAGGGGTGGCTCCATCCTCAGAGGTTACAGCAGACCCTTCTTGGCCTGTTGCTTCAGATGTGCAGGTGGACTCCCAGAAACCAAAGGGCTTCGCCTTCTCTCCCTGCTTGCCTTACCCTGTCTCCCTTCAAGTATATTCTCCGTCCTGGCCATCTCAAGCTTGAACACAGAGAGGCTGGCCTTGCAGCTGCATCATGTTGGAACTCAGCCCAGCGAGGATCTTGATGAAAGCCCGCTGAGGCTCCCCAGGGCGGCTCAGGTTCTTCCTTTTCTCAGGTTCTGTCGCTCGGCTTATCCATCTCTGTCTTTGATTCTGTGGGCAACCCTGTGAGCCTTCCAACAAAGTCCCTTTTTGGTTTAAATTAGCCAGAGTCCACTTTGATTGGTTGCTAGCAATTTAAAAAT